TTCCTTTGAGTTTTGTCTCTTTGGGGTTAAGAAGGCGGTTATGCGAGCTGCTTTGTGTATGTTAATGTATGTTAGTTTGATGATGAATATCAGATGGTAGGTGAGGTCACTTTTTGCTGCAAAAATTCTTGATGTTTGCTTCTTCAATCTAATGGTTGGAACTGGCTTTTTGTTAGGAGTGCTGTAAGAAAAGGCTGGGAGAGTTTGGAGGTGCAGTAGGGGAGAAAGGAATAGGTTTAGAAGGTGAACAGCTGGTGGCTAGCAGCAAGCTGGAGAAATAGCTCTGTATTCCCATTTTAGCTCATCAGTCTCCTGGGGACGAGACTTCAAAGGTGAAAGGCAGTCCAGCTGAACTCTGGTAATATTCCTCACTGGAGTGAGGTTTCCAGATACATAAACATGAGTTATATTTCTCCTAAGGTTTTACAAGCTTAGAAGTTAATTGCAAAACTTAACTTTCTCACATTTTTTTTAGGAATTTCTCAGTGGGATACAGAAAAGGGCCCTAGCTGTGTTTGTGCTGACAAGGAAAACCAAGACCTTCCTTTGAAAGGGCTTAGTCTGGTCTGCTTGCTTGATGAACAGTTTTATTATACTGATCAGGAAAGGAAGGAAAGAAGATTGTACTGGCAGGAAATCAGAAAATACAGTAAACTTTGCTCAGATGTAGGCATTTGCATGTGTGTGCTTGTGGGCATATGTACGTATTTTCTGTGTATGAAGTCCTCACTTTGAAAGCAGTGACAAAACATCTATTCACTTCAATGGGAGTGGGTTGCAACTCGAGAGACCGTCTAGAAGAGAGTGGTCAAACTGCATACTCGCTGGAAGAAATAATTATTCTGAGACTAATTGATTATAATTACAAGCCAAATATTTTTCTAGATACATTTTTTTAAAAAGTAAGCAAACAAAATTTTCATCTTTCAGTACAGTATATTCTTGCATCCCCCATACCCACAATCTGAAAAAGAAAAGGACTTGCCAGAGCCATTAACATACAACTACGGAAAGCAAACCCAGCAAGTGTTGATGATCGATTATGAATAATAACTTCACAGTGTAATGTACGTCTTGGTGCTGTGAACAAGCTGTGGTGTTGCAGTCCTCTAGATGGCACTCTTTGCCACACCAGTTCTCCACCTGGACGGTTTGCTGTTGGAGAGGATGACTCAAAATAACTCATGGCCAAACGGCTCTTCACCTGTTTTACATGTACAATTTATATTGTTCAGAACGCCCTCTTGCCCCCCATTTGTACAGTTGGCAGCACCTGGCTTTGGATCTCGGGTAACTTTTGTCTTCAGGAATGAACACAAACTTTTGCTTCAGGTGATAACGTTATTAAGTGAGAGATGCTTTGTTTTATAGGAATGACTTTCATGTGTGAGAAGCAAATTTTAAAAAAGAATAAAAATCCAGATCTGTCCTTGACCCGTTGGACTGAACAGCCATACCAAGGGGTTGTCCTGGTCCAAGGGAGTGGATAGCACAGGGTAGGACCAGCTGTGAGAAGGTAAAACCATTTCTTTTGACAATAGCACCAGCTTACGCAAAGGTAGATTGATTGCAAAACTATTGAATAAATTACCCAGCTGCATTAGCTCCTAGTGGGCTACACGTTAGCCACCTAGACTTGTTCTGGTGGCCTGGCCAAAGCTGCAAACTGTTTGTCAGCAAACCTGCAGTCTCTTCCTTCTGGCTCTTACCTCATAAATGATGGGTGTGAGAATACAATTCAAATTGTTTGATTTTGAATCTCTATCTGAAATTAGGGCACTAATGCCCTCTCCCCAATGACTGTTCAGTTTTAAATGCTCTAAAATTGTCTTCTTCAGGGTCAGTCGTTTGTTTTTTAAACCCTGTCTCCATGATTCAGATGCGTGCAGCTTGATCCTTTTCTATTAGTAACATTTGGAACCATAGAAGCTCCTAGGCTCGTATTTACCAAGTTTATAATAAAAGTAACCCCCACACATTGGATAATAATTATGTGACCACTTTTTCAGGAGAGCAATATTAAATAAACATTCAACAAAAGCTAAATCTAGTCCTAAGTGAAGCTTCAAAGCTTTCCAAACTCTGGCAGACCACCCAGGGAAAG